TGTCCTACATAGTGGCGAACTAGGGGATATTTAAATAAAACTTGGCTAATAGACGTAATTAAGGTCGTACTATTAAGGTCGGTTTTTTTAGTCCTCTATACTGAGATTATTGAATAGTGTACACATGGCGGGCGATTTTCACACTGTCTCAGTGAAAGTTTGAAAAGTCTGGACGTGGAAACAGCTATGTGTTTGTGGATTTTATATCGGAGATAGCAATGCAGCAGGAGACGGAAATATTGGGTCCACCCTATTTTATTGTCCAAAGTGAAAGTCACTCCATAACTTACCATATTCCAAGGACGTTTCTCAACTTCGTCTCAAAACACGTCTCACCACGTCGAAAACGTGCGCTCGTGTGAACGGCAATAGCGCGGCTCTGAGTGCGCATTAGCGAATCGGGGGTTGAACGCTCGTCATGTGAACATGCTCTTACCCTCTGATATAAAAATGATAAATAATAATATTCTATTTAAACGTCAGCTGATGTCATGGCTAAGAGATAAAAACTTCTATTCAATTATTGAATAAGAAGAAGTCATCTTCTCTACATATAATTCTTAATTAATGTTGACCACTTACCTTATTTGACAAGGAATGTATTTATATAGTTTGTATTTTTTGACATCTTCACGACATGGCAATAACTTACTATTATAACATGTGGGGCCAGGACAGCATCCACTCAACTGTGAAGTTTAGTGGCTGCTCCCCCAGCCTCCGCGGCGGATCTGATGGCAGGCTCCGCCGCAACACATAAAGAGAGTTCCTTGGAGCGCCCACCACGGGCCAACCGCCCACGTTCGGCCGCGGAGGATAAGACGAGGGGCAACTACACACCGACACGTCTCTTTCCCCGCGGCCCCGCCGCCACTGCATCATTGAAAGCGGTGCAGCCCCGCTAGGGTCGCGGAGGACAGGACGAGATATAGAAGCTTTAGGGCCATATGATTTGCCAGTTCTTAAATGTCATGGATACGCTCATACGTTCGTGCGCACACTATAATAAATTATAACCAACCTATTATAACACCTATAATCTTTTAAAAAATACGTGTTACAAGGTTATAGGAAAAACTTACCTCGCGTCACGGGGAAATTTATGAAATTTTAAATCCCTGTTGTATTTCGTTGTCGAATTACAACCGTACAACTATTTATGTAGAACTTACTTAACGTATTCAAAAATATTTAAAATCACGTCAACCCTTAACACTCGGCGCGCAAACTAAGCGCGTTCGCTCACTGCTGCCGGCGCCTCCCGACCCCCCTTAAGTATTCCTTCGTTACTCTGCGCAAGTAAACTTCGTTTCAATCCATTTTAAACAAAATGTAAACAAACAATCCACTGACCTGACCATAGACGGTTAAGTGATGGCCAATTGCAATGCTAAATAAATCGATTAATTAATTGAATGAATCGATTTGTTTAATTGAGTCGTACTAGTGGTTTTCGTTGCATAACCTATATAAGCATATTTAAAATTTCCGAAATTTTAATTTTAAATCCTCCTTCAAATCATTATGTTTAGATACTCGTTATATAATATTCGATTTACTAACGATTACAAAAAAGTTAATTGATTGCACCGAATGTTTTTTTTTTTCGTACAACACAATGCAATCATAGACAAGTCATAGTTGTATAGTCGAAAAATAACCTCACTTTTGGACTACCATTTCTCAAATACGATTTTACGATTTTTTGATTCTATTCAAATGAATATTTTTGGAAAACGTGATGAGATATCAAGCCGAAATCTTCGAAATATACGTGACAGTGTTACTCATTCGGTTTATTGAGTGATTGCTTTAGAATTTTTGTTCAAAATGGATTGGAACATACTATACTTTCGTTGCGCAACTGTATGGTTTGTAAATTTTGGTAATGTTCAGCTTTGTTTACCGCTAAGCCGTTATTATACGAAATTATACTCATAAAACAAAATGAAACCAGCGCAGTAGTACAGAAAATTAACTTTAATCAAAGATAACCATGTCGCAATATTTATTCCTTCCTAGCAAAGGAGTAAAATTGTCTAAACGGTCCGTTTCCTTTCCGGAAATACATCCACATTTTCCCAGTTCCATAAGTTTATCCATCACAATTTCCATTTCTATATCGTCGTGATAGATTTTCTCTGCACACTTTCTTATTATAGCATCTCTATACATCCATTCTTCTAATGTAAATTCCTCTAAAAATTTTTTTACTTCTTGCGGGTTGCTTTTTTTTCTACTATTATCTTCTGTACTTACAAATATTAACTTTAAAGCTGCGTATATCATAGTTAAGTTCATAACACCCCTGGGTTGCTCAACCACATGATGACCAAACATGTTTAGTTTGCTATTTTTTCTAAATTTCTGTACAAGCCTGTATAATTCTGCTCTGTGATCATTAGGAGTATGAGATATATCATTGAACTCAAGCCACTCAACTATTTCCTTTTTTGGACTTGACATGTTTAGCTCTGTATCATCTTTCTTGTATTCCATTTTGTGGTCTGCATTTACCCCAAGGACAACAACATGAGGATTCCTTATGTCTAATACTAAAATTGCGACCCACTCCTTTAGCCAACGCATACTAAATAGAAAATGTGGTTGGAAAAACGTTGTGTGTACCAAACCTAATAGAGTCGATACTACGACAGCCATATATTGTCTTTTCTCACTTATATCTGCCAAATTTATGAATTCTACATAAAGAATCGGTAAATTGTTTTTCCTCCATTCTATCATGTTTTGCAAATATCAGTTCTCTGTTGAAACTGCTCTGTCTTCTCTATTATAATCGCTTTTTTTGTTCCTGGTAATTGTTTCCATATAAATCCAGCTCTTCTTAGAGGGTACATTATACTGTCAGTGTAAGGGATATTTTTGTTAAAGTGGTGTATCAGTCTAGCTACAGTAGAGATGTGACGTTTTTCAATATAGTGAAGTCTGCAAAATTTTCTATTCTTTACATGTCTCATACGTAATAGTCGAATTCTTGGACTTTGCTATTCTTAACCAATCTTTGTAAGAAAGCAGATGTAGATATTTCATAATAGTTGTTAACGGTATATTGATATTTGTGTAAAACCTAGCAGCAACCATGGGAGTTCGGTTTCTTATCTTCCCTAGTGAATATTTTATAGATTCTTTTTCGACTGATTTTATTATGTTCATTACAACAGAAACAAATTGTTCTACGTCTCGTTTTCTAGCTGATTCAAACTGAAACTGAAATACAGTAAGTTTGAGATTTTAATTTATTAGCTGACAGTTGTTTGAAGGCTTGTTCAATATATAAAACCAAGCAACTTTTACTGCGGGAACTCTGCAATCGTAAAAAAAGATGTTTGTGATGAAAGATGGTTTGTACATTTGTTTTCAGTAAATATGAACTTAGAGTACTGTAATAGTGTTCAAGCAAATGAAATACAAGTTGTTTTCTATTTTCCTCTCACCCACGGCTTAAAATTTATATATTTATTTATTTATTATGCTGTGGCGAACATTCTTGTGTGCTGCTCGTCCGAAAGAAGTCGAATATAAAAGTAGATTATTAAATTAAGTAATTGGTAAAAATAATTAGTGAACAGAAATTGTAAATTTAGACGTTTCTACGAAGTGATAACGAATAAATATGTTTAAATTACTACATTGGAGTTTTTATTTTTAAAACTATGTACAAAATTAACAATCGGTTTCAAGAAAGTGCGCGTTACCGGACTCATCCCTAGTTTGTCACTCTTGGAGGTCGAATATTTTCTTCACATGTAAATGTGACAAAAGAGGGTTCAACAAAAAAGAATCATCAAAATCGGTTCACAAATGCCGAAGTAATCGTAACATATCTACATAAAATGAGATCGAATTTAGAACCTCCTCTTTTTTTAAAGTCAGTTAAAAACAACAAGTAACTACTTAATCGGAAATAATAAGCGAATATTTGTTTTTGTAACGCAAGGTGTGATTTAATATTATTGTTAATTTTGTTACAAAATTACATTGACTTACAATTATATGGACGTCGGGTCCGCGCTAAAAAGTGTCCGCACTTGTAAGGCGCTAAAATCGTATACAGAGCGCGACACTCCGCTTTAGTCTTCATTTGTTCTACTGACAGCGCGATACTGCGATGACATTACAATTTAAATTTCGAATAGGTTGACTTGGGACATTTTTTTCGTGGTTTTTGTATTAGACCCGTCGTCCATTTATTTGTAAGTCAATGCAAAATTACGAATATAAAATAATTACCTTTAAATTTTCTTCTTTTTCTACGTCACTCATTTTAACACAAGATATAATTTTACAGTACAAATTTAAAACGACGGAAACTATTTTAAATGCTAAATAGAACGCCGTCGTCGGCTCAATACATTTTACGCCCATTGACTAGGACTGCGGGTTGAGGAGTGGCAGAATACACGGGACGGGAGGGGGATTCGGCATCGTCAGCTGTTTGGCCACAATGCGCTGTTGCCGTTCCGTGCGACGGCCGGCGGTTCGTAGTGCGACATAAACAGACCGCTAGATTAGAGTGTGTAAATAATATACGGGATTGATAGGTATTGAGTTAATTTTTAGTATTCCTATTTTAATACTGCCAAAACGCATTTAAATAAGTAATAGTATTTTATATCGAACGACCGCTTAATTTTATTTTCATACTTTTGTTCATATTCATGAACATCGCCCCAATCATGTGTAAAAGTGCTACTTATGCTATATAAATACGACTACTTTTTAACTACTACTTTTACTAACTATTTTTTCTATATAAATGTAATTACACGCAATCACACAGTCACACATTCTCAGAGGGAAGATCGCATTATACGCAATATCTTTATTTATCTAGATTGAAATATCGCACACTAATTTGGTGAACAATTTCTTCATAATTTTAGAGTATCCGTGGCATGCGCAACGCGACTGCCTCGCTCTGAACAGTTGCCGCCATACGAGACAAAACATGTATCTGTCTCTTTCGTTCTCAGGCCCACCGCGTCACTACATCGTTCGCAAAGATCAGTTGCTATCCGCTTTTTGAGTAAAATGTACGTTTAAATGTACGTGCAGTTTTTTTTCAAACGGACTTCACTTCTCGGATCTCCACATTATTATCATCAGTATCTATAAATATTTAATGTTTGTGTTAATTTGCGCAGTGAAACCAAGATGGCGTCAAAACAGTCGATGGACGACGAAATGGCGCGTCCAAGCACGAGTAAATCCAGAACGAATGATCCTCTTCAAATAGAAACTTTACAGCTAATTTCGAGGGTTTTGGAAAAATGTGAGTCAGAAAAACATTATAGTAACAAACGCACCGATTTATCTAATCCGAGTGATCCATTGAAACGAGCGCAATATTTTACTGGTTTGCATCCAAGTTATTTGCAGAAAATAAAAGAAGGTAAAGAGACAAATTTTTACGTGGCTACTGTAAATCGTTGCGATATTCAAAACCAACTTATAAATTTTTATTTCAAATCAAAATTACCTACTACGTACGAGTTGTTCAACGCAATACAAGGTCGGATTCCCGAACACATGGACATAAGAAGTTTCAGAAAGGCATTGGTGAAGTTAGGTTATATGTGGCGAAAGATATACAAAACTAACGACTTATTAGTTGTAATAGAAAGGCCATCAGTTACTTTTGAAAGATATTTCTATTTGAAAAACATAATTAAATACCGGGAAGAATTACGGCGAATTTATTTCGTTGATGAATTGATACTGACTTCGACCTGTGAAGTATTCGACAGTGATGCCGTTGTTGAATTAAAGGACTATATACACAAAGGTGTGATTTCAAAGCATGTTATTTATGCTGTTACAGATCAATCAATCCAATTTACGACTTATTACGATGATTATGATGTAACAAATTTCGAAAAATGGCTGCAATTGAAACTATTCCGTTCTGTAAAACCTGGAAATGTAATTGTTTTAAGAAACAAGAAACACGTAAACAAGGAATTGCTGGAAAAACCAACATTGAACAGTTTGAAAGTTGAAATGAAAGACTGGCTTGACTTTTACAATGTCCCGTACGAAGAAAACATGTCTAAAATTGAACTTTACACGTTAGTTGAAAAATTTACAAACAATATCGATAAATTATATAAAATCGATAATATTGCGAAGACATTTGGGGTCGAAATATTACGACTGCCTAATAGCGTAAGTGATTTGTCGCCTGCTCATACGGGGGTATATATGCTCATACAGAAAAATGTAACAAGACAGAAAGATTTCCAACATTTTTTGCAATCGTTTCAAGATATTGTAAGCACAGTCGACAAGGAGTACTTACAAAGTTGTGACGAACATGTAGCTGTAGAAGAAAGGGTGACTTTAAAGACTGATATGAAACTAGATGAAATAATGGATAATATTGTTGACGTTATGAAGAAAACCAAATTCGACGAGAGTTTGGCAGAAGATTCTGATTTACCTGACTGTAGCGATTCGGAATAGCGTTTTATAATTAAGTTACTTACTTACAAAGATGTTGTAATTATGTTGTATACATATATCACTTAAATGTACACACGCGACTGTAACGTAATTCACCAAAATACGCAGGCAAATAATCTCACTACAGAGTACTTATTAATTATATAAAAATTATTCATCCCTTAATTTGCCACCCTTAGAGGTAAAATATTTTCTACAAATTTAAATGGGACCGCTAATGAAATACCCTCTTTTAAAAAAAAGAATAATAAAAATCGATTCATAAATGCCGAAGTTATCGCTTAATACACATACAAAGAAAAAAGAAATACAGTCGGATTGAGAACCTCCTCCTTTTTAAAGTCGGTTAATAAATTTTTATTAGTACTAAAAATGGATAATATTAGTAATACGTGGAAATACTATTCCATTGAACTAACAGACATTTGAAATTAGGTGGTAGAAGAAAACAGCAATACTTGTTTGTGACGTCACTAGTATCATGTCGTCATATAGCCACGTACTAATTATTGTTTTGCTAAAAAAGCTGATTGAGTTGATTGAAGCCACAACAAAATGTCGGCTTTTTATTTAAAAAGAAAAAATCAGTATATATGAAATTGTTACTGTCGTCATTATCTAGTTATATTAAAAATAAACAAACATTCCATAAACAAACAAGGTGTTTCATTTCAATAATCCAAATCAATTATATCGGTAAGGAAATATGGCTGGTATTAAAGGAGCATGATTTTTAATAGTTGCAATCCTTCCACTTCGAAACCTGCGCGTGATTTTAATGTCTCCCATTTGTCGGTAATAACTAAACATAAGAGCCACAGCTGTGAAAAGAAGAGTAAGTGTTCTTTTTAGAATAACTAGGTGTTGGGAAGCAATTTAATTTAATTAAATTCACGGCAATTACAAGCATCGTGGCTAGTGATTTTTTTACATATTCTTAAAAAAATATTTATTATACATACAATGCATACATACAACATGCCTATCTCCTACCGGGGTAGGCACAGATTAAACTACAAAATATTTAAAATTTTAAATAGTTTGTAGTTGTTGTCGATAGTTTTATTAAAGAAGATAAATTTTTTCCAAAAATTATTGAATTCTGAATGTTACGATTACTAATTGCTTTATTGTCTTCTTTATTTTTGTTTTGACAGATGGCCTACTAGAATCGAGATTTTTATTCACATACATTATAATAAGAATAGCTAATGTAAAACTTTAAAATATTTTCTCCTTTTTGTATCTTTCATAAACAGAGTTCTAAATACAGTGTACGTATGTATGAACTTACAAAAATTTACTATTCAAATGAACTTGTCCTCAGTAATTGGATTAATAATGGGTCGAGGATGATTCAAATGAAACAAGTGCAGCTATTTATTCCATAAGCGTGACCAATATTCAGTCGATAGAATATTTATCGACTGCAATCACTAGCTGCTCGTAAGCGGGCAACACTTTACTCCGTCTTCAAAAAAGACAGACTCGAACTCGAGACAGAATCTCAGCATCGATCGTCCAGTGTGTAATGAAAATTTCGTGACCCCGTAGTTGGCCACGTTCGAGTATTGTAGTAGATGTGCGCGCGCTTTCTTTCTACCATGGAGGTACGCTCTGCATTGAGGGCTATCTGTGACACCTACTTAAATTGAATAGGCTATGTGTTGTTACGTCCGTCACATTTACTGTATTAAAGAGGAATATCAAGCGTGTTACATATTGAGTTTTTGGGTTTCCGCGAATGTTAAACATTGGGAATGAAACTATTGTTCCGTCAGCCACGACCATTTCCAAAGCTTATTACAATTGTGAATTATTATTGAAGGACATAAAAAATAGGTGATTTGCATTTAATATTGTATACATTTCTGCCCTCCTTGTTATTATGATAATAATAATTTATTCTCAGACAACATGATCCATAATATGTGAGAGAGTACTTAAGCTAGTGTTAGTGTGAACTTAAAAATATAAACATAAAAATAATTTTTGTGTAAAAGTGAATTGAACATGTTTTCAGGTCAAATATTACTATCTATACAAATATAATCAACATTTACTTAGTTTTAAAGATAATTGTCTAAATTTTGTTTTTAATGCTCATTTGTATTACGTTTGAGGCTTAACATAGAACTATCAAAGATAATTTATACAAATCAAACATTTTTTGCGTAACTCAGACTAAAATATCTACCGATTTAATTTATTTTATGTCTCAGAGAAATAGGATCAATCATTAAAAAAGGTGACCGTTTAGAGTTTTTTGCATACATGCCATTATTAATCACCGATACAAAATAAACCTAGCGACGTTCACCTCTGAACATCAATACAGAGTACTAAAAAACCGACCTCAAAAGTACGTGGAATTACGTCTATTTGCTAAGTTTTATTGAAATATCCCCTAGTTCGCCAATATACAGGACTTGACACTGGAGATAATAAAAATCGGTTCTCACTACTCAAAGTATATTGAGAGAAAAACGTCTTGAATTGGAGAAATAACAAAATCAACCATTAAAATAATTGCTATTTATAAAAATGAATCTTCATGCGTGAACAGCCACCATTAGAGGTGGACGATTTTCTTCTAAATGAAATGGGACCGCTATGGAAGTATCCCCTTTCCAACAAAAAAAATCATGAAAATCAGTTCACAAATACCGGAGTTATCGCGTAACATACATACAAAAAAAGAACATACAGCCGAATTGAGAACCTCCTCCTTTTTTGACGGCGGTTAAAAATACTCACGCGTTATTCAGCAGCTACTTTTGCCATTTACAGACAGAGGTCGTGTTGACTTAGGAGCTCAAGGTTTTTTATGATATACAAATAAATAAACAGACGTTACATCTGACGAAACGTTACCGCTATCTATGTATATACCATTGTAATAATATTAGAGGGAGTATTTTTGATAACAGCCGGCCGCGGGGCATAAGTCGTCAGCGTCACCATAATGTAGTTATTTTTAAATTTGTCTTCATAAATTGCCAATAACCGGTAGCCGATTCTAAACGCAAAAAAGTCGATTTAGTGAGTCCGCCATTTTGAATGTTGCAATGGTCAGCCCTGTCTGTAAATGTATTTGAAAAAACGGCTTAGATGCCTTAGACCACAAATTCGTAACGGTGCGCGGTGTGCGGTGGTGCGTTCAGCTCAGCGACGACGGAGCTTTCAAAGTTTGTGCGTAAATATTGCGCGCAAACGTGTGTCTTGTGTGGGATACATCCACGACAAGACACAACAACCGTACGTAAGTACACGCAAACCGGCGGACGGGTAGGCAGAGAACATAAAATTTATCAATGTGACAATTAACGCTATTTCAATTGCAATAAGGTATAAATTACAATGCTCCAAGAGTCTTATAAGAAAATTTTGTACGGTACATGACTTAGTCAGCATGTAGCAAGGAGATTTAAAAAATTACTTATGAAATTTTCTTACTTAATTAATAAAATTAGATCGACGTGAGCTTTCCGTGAGTTGTGACCATAGAAGATACAGTTGTGAATTTATTTTTCATTATATTTATTTCTCTACGTCTCAGAGCGTTGGAATATAATTTCAATTAAAATAGCATAAAGTATACATTACAATGTCACGTAAATACTGTTTATGGTTTCCTAGTCCAGAGTCCGTGTGAAAATAAATCTGTTAAGTATATCTTTTCAAAAAGGGAGCGACGAATTATATAATTTCAGTTTCATAATTAATAAAATACGACTTTTTGTAAATGCAATCATATTTAATCTCGTTGATGTGAAGTGTAATGATAATAAAAGAAATAGGTTTGAAATCGGAATGTGCTACCGGAATGTTGATACGAAAAGACGACTTAAAGGTCTTTAAAACAGTATAACAGCTTGTAGTTTGTTGAGACCAAAACCTTCACGACTTTGCTGATCAAATTTAAGCTACAGCTGTGGTTCGCGAGATTAAAAAATGGTACTTAAGTAGTAAGTTTGTAGGTACTACCAGGGTGTATAATAAAAACGCCTTTGTAACAAAATTTTAAAACGTTGAAACTATACCGCCTAATTCAGTGTTTTTTATATCACTAGCAAAATTAAATAAAATGTCGAATAAGTAACGCAAGAACAAATCATCCTAAGCACTCCGTTTCAATTCTGTCGATGAATAATAATTTTACATTTTTCTAAATAGTGAATGTTCGTAAAAGTGACATACAAGTCCCAAATTAAATTAGAACGTTACGCGGTGCATTTGAGTTCAAATTCTTTTAAAAGTATCATGAGTCTGGCATCCTGGCATGTGGTAATCGGACGTGTCTTCTCGATACATTATCAAAGTAGACACCAAAAGTATAATCCTTCAAAATTCAATGACCATATTTTGAACTTCGAAGCTTAACAATCTAACTACATCTCTTTTTCTCTATAGTTAGAAGCATATGTTTCATCTCACTCGCATCTACAGGGACGCTCGCGCATTCTTACTCCAACTCTTTTACACTTACACATTTGTCATATTTCTATCTCTTACTATTTCTTCCGTAAAAGATCCATTTTATCTTGATCTTTAGACTTGCGCAGTATGTATGCAAAAGTTGAATAAGAAATGGATCATTTTTAGTTGGTTCTTTGACAATGACCTTCGAAAATGACCATTGAGACTTACACTTACATATAGTAAATTTTGTACTGTTGGGAGGTCAATCCAAATGGTTTTCATTGCGTTCATTATATAGGTGTGGGATTTCAACGACAACTCTTTTTTTATGCTGATTATTTACTAAAATCCAGAATTATTTTTAATTTAAGGTATTTAATAATTTTTTATTTCGTGTATCTTATTTCAATAATAATAAGCTTATTATTTAAATAAAGAGAAAGACCATTGTTAAAACAACGATACAAAACGGTCAGTTCCCTACTAAACATGTAGTTTCTAGGTGTCTTCATAAAAAGTGTTATTCGCTATAATCGTAAGTAATGAAGCAGTGATACAGGAGCACGTCTAACGTTTACAGTTTTTATTTCAATTGAACCCTATTGCACTTGC